ACTATGGACTTTTTGGCAGTGGTACTCGGTTAGAATGGTTGACATTAGACAAAAGAGACCAACATTAAGGCGCAGACATGACATTTTATGACCGATAAAAACCACGTTATTTCAAAATAGCGTAAAAAATCAAAATAAAATATTCCGTATAATACGGAATATCATCGTCAGGCTGTTTGTAATCGGACTGACCCTGCCGCCTTCGGTGACCCCGCTGTGCCCTCGGCTGTGACCCCGCTGTGTTTAATTGGTCACTAGCAGCGTTTTGACGTGATCCGAACATCTAACTGATACCACCAAGGTCACCAGTAATGTATCGGAGACGAAGGCCAACTCTCGTCCGTAATATGTTATGACACATGTGTGGATTGGTACGGTGTTGGAAAAATCTTCAGGCGGTAAAGTGACCTTCAGAGAGATAGGTCAGTATTTAAACGGCCCAGGGAGGTCGTGAAGACTCAGAATCCATATCATCAACTCACATAAATCATATTCATGTCAGTCAAAGATATAATTATTAACTCATGATGTTCCTATCCGAACTTAATTCTTTACATTGTAGAGTAAGTATCTCCCCACATAAATCTTAGTTACAAAATATTACAAAAATAGCCAGCTATTATATTTCTCTCTATTGGCACACGTGTCCATCGTAAGTGTAGTCCCTTTTTGAGCGATGGCTCCAATGCACGCGAGCATCGCCCGTCATCTATTGGCGAGCTTACACTGAGTTTAGATCACTGGGGTTGCGGAACTCTAGCAGGATTCCCTCAGGGCACGAATAAATGCACAGCCAACACCATTATCAGTAATGCACTGTAGAAGTGTCACGCTTAGCAACAGGGGACACAAAGAGGTTGACTGACTCTAATAGTATTGTCCGGTGCTAGTCTCGAAATAATACCTACGTGAAAAGGATAGGACAGCGTTGTCACGCATGAGACATGCTTTTCTGAGTAGCATTCAACTAAGGCACGTCCTTTAGCAAAAGCAGATCAGTGGCCACCATAAAGATCACGGCGCACAGCTCCACCGCTATGGCGGCAGACATGCCTGCAATGCAGATTGCAGAGTCTCTGGTGAGAGCAGGGTACAATCAAGCTACATCCATCGCACGAACATCAGTGTATTCAGTGCGGAGAAAAAGGAACCGAGAGGCGTGCTACATGAGGAGAGAGCCGTGCAACGGTTGGGGTTGAGATATATCAGAACTGTGAGCAGCTACAGCGTCCACCAAAGACTCCAAGGTAGGATGAAACATTCGACAGAGGACAGTGGAACTGCAGCAAGCCATGCGTCAGAACTGAGAAGAGCTGCACAATAACACAGACGAAGTTCCGTATAAATTTGATTTCGTCGCCAGATTTCATTTTCAGCTGAGAATATCGTTCATTTTTCGGCGTAAGCACTCTTAGCCATCCGGCCATGGCCGCAAACCAGAAGGTAATTGAAGGAAGATCATCTCTAGTTTACAGAAGCCGCCTATCATTGTCAAGTTAGTATGGGCATCGTACAAGGTACTGCCAGCTACACCCACCACACGATAATTACATCAGAAAAAAATCAGCCTCGTTGCCAAATCAGTCAAGGCTACCACCATCACCAGCGAAAATTAACAGACTTCCGAGTGCTAACTAGCAAACTGGTCGGTCACGTGCAATGACCTTCGTGCCCGATGGGTGTAACCCTGTCATCACGTTCCCTCTGTTCACACGTCTGTGCTCGACGTGCGTCCGTTGTGCACTTAATGCACGCGTGTCTCGAGAATGGCCCGCTAAGCAGCCGAAATCAGGGCCGGAATCTGGAGCTAACTACGTTAATGAGGTCATTGGGATCATGCGGGTCGAGGGCGTGGCTTGACGACAACTGCCAGGTCAGAAAGCTAGTAATGGCCGGGGATTCAAAGCAGTTCGAAGACGGTTAGAAGTTAAGACGGCCTTTTACCGCGTGTATCAAGAAGAAAACTTCGGAAGACAGACTTCGATCGGAAGACAGACAGATAAATATTGTGTCAATAAATAGAACAGAGGTATTTGCATGTAAATTATAAATGCATGGAGCTCACAAATTTCGTAAGGCGAAGCAAATCTCTGTTTAATGAAATGGCTCCGAAACATTTCACATGACACACGTTTATTGTCTATCTCAATCTTCAAAAAAGAAAAGTATTCGGCCTGTCTTCGCATCTAAGCTCAGAAGCACTCGTCCATTGATTTCCATTCAGCTGTCGCCTGTCCTGTCAGCGACTGCTAGTCTCTGCATGAAATTAAGCTCTCCACAGCTTCACAGCTTTGCAACCTGCCTCTGCCTTCAAGCTATTTGCATCGATTACGTGTTTAGCGTCAATTTGCCGAGCACGTCTAATTTGTTACCCGAGTGGCGACGAAGTGACACCGCTGACGACATTTGTCTAGGGCTTAGTGCACTAAACATGTTGAATGTTTTGCATCTGTCTTGTGTGTTCAGTTAAGCTGCCAATTATGCATATTGGTACCCCACGCTCATCTGTCTATGACTTGTTGATTTGCTTAAATATACTGACGATTTCATCAATATTGATAGACGACACTGCTTGCTAATGAAAACATCGTGCCTTGTAATAAAATGTAGAAGTCGCGAAGTGCGGCCATGACCGCCGATTCTCGGTGTAAAATCCCGCTTCTCCACAGCTGCCTCACGTGACGTCACATCCAAACACATGACGTCACAAACCCGTCATTCATCCCTCCACCCTGATCGTGACAGCCGTTCCCTTAGCAACAATAGCCCGCTATGCACACCTCAGCCCGGGCGCGCGCCGCCCGCCCCAGCGAGCGACCTGCCTCTCACACATATGCGCCAACCTAAAGAATGACAGGCCGCTCGCTCCGTCACGTACGAACCACTTTCTCGCCTCGCAAGGTCGCTGCTGGGCCGTTGGCAAGGCACGTCAACGGCATCGGTTGGCTCCACTGACCGGGTGCCCCAGGCATCACCCCTGGTCAACACTGCTGCAAAGTCGAGGCGTAACGCTTTGATTAGTAGCGGCACACCCTGAGGATACTCCAAAGATCGCGAATTATGATTGGGGTTTAAAAGCTATGGGCGAACAGCTGCAGACCTGTGGCTGATTTGGAGATAGAATCGATGGGGATTTTCATCAGATAGCGTAGATTCATCAGATTGAACTGATGGGCTGCTGTGCTAACTTGCCGCTCGCCCGCGGTGGTGTGAATATCGCGTGAGGCTAGGCGATGAAACTTAGTGAGGCGGTCGGACAGGGTTGGCTTCTGAGTTACACCCAGTGTCTCGGCGGCACTTTAGAGGGCCGGGAGCTAACAATGAGCCGCTGACGAAGGCAACAACAGATCAGGTTCAGTGCCGGTACCAAACGAAATAAAACTACATAGTAGCGCCCAGTGCATTACGAGTTATGTGGCAAGGGCATGAGTGAGCATTTGGGTCCATCACTTGGTAGCAATAGCGTTGCTCAAATGATGATATGGGATTATCTGAAGCCCAAGACAAGTATTTGACGCCCAGCTAAAATTGAACGGCCTCGTGCATAAGTCTGATACGCACGCATGCATCAATCATTAAGACCACATAATCCGCTGATGAATTTAGGTTTCAGGGCGGTCGAACTTCATCAATGATCAGCGCCCATAATTCCTTAAAATCCCTGCACACAGATTTTATAACAATCACGTGATCAGTAAGCCAAGACCGTTTCAACTTCCAATGCATGCCATTATTGTACCTGCAAGTGGGCGATACTAGTTATTCCTGCTCAAATCTCATCCTGTAGCAGCTCCGCTCGCTTCCAAAGTGCGCCCCGCCTTCGAGCAGCCGGCGCTCCCCACCCCTCACGACAGGACGAAGCCCGGTTCACAGGGCGTGTTCCTACGACCTCAGCGGTGCACCCTGACGTGGCGTCAGCCACCCCCGCTTCTGTGGACAGGAAGCCAGCGCAGCAGCGGTACCGGAAGGCCGACCACCGTATCTCTGTATCGCTACGGCCGCAGTCCGTCGCTATGGAGGGTGCAGGAATACACCGGTGCAGGGAGGACTTCTTGGAGCGAAAACTACGGAAACTACGTGGCAGAAACTACGCAGAAGAGTGCTCGGTGACAGCATAGTCAGTTCAGAGATAAATTCGTGAAACAGGTAACTTGCAGAAGAAAACCAGGGAAGCAGATTGGAAATAAATGCATGGCGACCGTTGATACATGTTTCATTGTAATACTGATACTCAAACCTGGGACGCAACTATGATACTTCATCAAATAACTAATATTTAGGAGAACGGCTGAGCCCACGTAGTTCACGAGCTGCTAAGCCCAGCGGCACAAAATGTGGTGCGGGAACGCTAGGGATGACCACTATGGGAGCACTAAAGGAATTCGCCCCATCGACGGATCCGTAGATAATGTTGTGCCATTTTCCCTTCACTCTCGTACCGACCCGAAGCACGTGTAATAGACGGCGCGAGCACAGGAGAAAATCGGCGATGCTTTCTACATGTCGAAAGCCAGGCGAAAGAGACCCGCGACCTGGAGGTTCTGGCAGTATTTCAAGAACAATGGACGCAGTCTGACCTTATGATCTCCGACTGAACTTAGTCTCAATAACCGGCTATGATTGCAAGCAGTTAGATGGCAAAAATAAAAAAAACTATAAAATAACCCATCTTTGATTGAAATGAGAGAAATTAACAACAAACCGAGAACGGCGTTTTAAACATCCGGAAAGATGACGGAGGCAGCTACAAGGTTATACAGTTACATTGTTTGATTCCACAAGTCTGATTGAACCATATACGAGTAGGCTCTCTTTCTGCCAAGACGCGACTTTGGACACTAGAGTTTTTACCATGCATATGATTTACAGCTTAACTACCCCAATCGTTTCCATATTTAGATGCTTCGATCCGCCCTCTTTTTGGATAGCATGAGGTAAAATATCAAAGGAACATGACCCAGTTCCCCTTTTACGACCACCAATGCCATCCACATCCTTACCGGTCTGAAGGAAAGTCAGCCCTCCTATGGACATGCTGGCAGTGATGGGCTCCTGCCACCACGGGACATCCTGTTCGTCCCTCGGCGGGGAACCGGAGCGTCGCTTTTGGGCGCGCGCCGGAGGAGGTGGCGGCGCGTCAGGGTCTGACTTCACTCGCACAGAACACTCGTCAGGTTCTTGCTTCACTCGCACTGGACACTCGTCTGTATCAGACATAGGTTCAGCCTTCACTCGCACAGAAGGCGTTGGGGCAACGTTCGAGTTCGAGGGCGTCACTAATGCCTGAGGTGACGATGAAGAAGCAGTTGGCAATGATGATGAGGATGATGGTATCACTCCCGAGACTGTCCTTCCCGGCGATGCTACTGTGTGTGTTGTTGATGCTTGCACAGAGTCCAAACTCATGGGAACTGTAGGAGTTGCTGGTGAAGATGCAGAAGATGCCGACGAAATCACAGGTGATCGACGACTGACATCAGAGCGTCGACAACGTTTCCTGGGCGTCCGACGCACTGACCTCACCTGTGACCTGACCTCTGCCGGAGGCGACGACGGATCACAGCGCACACGCGGCTCCGGAAGATTCGGAGAGCGAGGATCCGCCTCCTCTGCGTAGTGAATGTCCGGCTCCAGGACTGCCGCCTTCGTGGCAACTCCCTTCGTCTTGCCCTTCACCATGGCGACAGGATGCGACCGCAGGTCGCGACCACAGTCGACCACGACCACAGGTGGAACACCGAGCGATGTCAGTCAGATTGGCAAAAGGTGGACAGAGAGCTCTCGACCTTAGCCTGCCGGCCTGAGCGCCGGCAACGGACGCACAGGACTCGTTCTGGCCCGACGAATCCGCCCCGTTTCCGTTATCACAGTTCCTTCCGCCGCACTGTCTGCCGACGTGCCTGTGTCCCGGCTAGCGACGAGCCGCCAGTGCCACAACCACCACTCGGGCGGTCAGCTCGTCCTGGACCAGGCGCCGATCGGTAATGGCATGACCCGGCTCCTAGACAGCTAAGCCGTCCTTCACCACACGCACACCACACTGCGCGCACTTCAACGTCTCGACGCCAACTGCAGTCCTCGCGTTCCACAACCCAGCCGTTGCACAAGAGATCAATCCTTTATCCTAATTAAAACACGGCTTTGTCGTTACCACAAAAAGCGCAAAAACCACTGGCGCGCGACGCGCCACCAAAAACTCTCGCCGAGCGTCGCGCGACAAGCGCCGTGTGCGCTGGGCTACGCGTGCGCGCAGCAGAAGGCGGCGACTCGGGTGGTGGCGGCACCACTTTCTAGCGACGACTGGGCGCCGGTGGGCCGGAGGACGCCGGCTCGCCGCTCGACACTGGGTCAGTGGAGGGTCGGCGCCACGTCAGCGGTGCCAGCAGGGTCGCCAGGGTCACTGGCGTCGGGTCAGTCCAGGTGTCAGCTGGACGGGGACGTGAGCTGGGACTGCGGGTGGCCGACGGGGTACAGAGATGTCGCTGAGATGGGACGACGGGTATCGAGGTGGAGTTCGAGGATTTGGGGGGGGGGGGGCGATTCCAGAGGACACAGCCCCACCGGGCTATAACTGGCGACCCGTCTTGAGCTCAATCTCAGTCAAATCGAACAAAACACATTTTTTCATCACGTGTGATGATTCAATGAGCGTTGTCTTTCCAACGTCCTCATTTTTTCACGGAGATTATATGTCAAAATATCCCACCATCACAGCGATTCCAAGTGTCACATCGGCTTCCAAATACTCCGCGCTGAAAATGTTCAATATGCACACGTCACGAATGTGCGCTCCTTAGTACACGACCGGAATAGCTCCACGTTTTGAGGTGCACCCAATTAAGTCTTCAAACATTTGCTCGTATCCTTAATCTTTCACACGTATCCTTGCACTCCGTAAACAGAGGCAATCCATCTGTTTCGATAAGCAAAGACTAGTCTGCCCTCCAGGCTCACGATGCGTGCACTTTTATCAAACACGTTCTTGACAACCACCGATCGTCCTGATTCTCTCTCAGCTTCAGCACTCACACCGGCCACGCCTCTCACCCTCCCTGCGACACTTTGCACTTCGTCACTCGCCCTTCAGCCCGACACTGCCCTCTGCCCTGCTAGTATACCACAACATTGTCACTGCAGAGCAATGCAGAGCGGCTAGACAGACCAACGACCGACCGGCGAACGCACAAAAATAAATGCACAGAGGATTGCACAAGCCAGACTGTGCGGCGGGCGGAAGGCGAACGTCAAAGTCGGAACCGTACCGCGTGCCACGCTCGCTCCGAGATGCCGGTTTAGATTTGTGGGCGTTTGTGCAAACACTGAGTGCACAAAAAGGGTACAGGAACGGCGGATGGTTTTAGAGTTGATGCTAAGGAAAGAGAGCAATGCTTTCACGACGAACGGTAGAAAAATTTAGTAGAGGAGCATTATTATGATTTTTATGCAGTCTACAACTGTCATCACGGTAATTCTGGATGGCATATGCGAAATTATCGCAGCCATTAATATAAAATTCAGACATTTCAATACACCGTTTTCCCGGTTGGTAAAAAGTACACGTTTTGTCCGTCGTCTGCTTCTGAGGGTGCAGTTCAACGCTAGTGGTCACCGTTGATTGTCCCGCTGATTAGAGTTGCCCTAATAGCGAGCCACCGTGTCCGCGCATTGTCTCTAATTCTTCGTACTTGCTTGGCCGTTGCGAGGCGATACTCGCCAGGCTGTGTAGATTCTATCAGCAGGTAATCAGTGTTTAACGGTTACTTGAGGCAGCGAAACGCTACATGTAATGCTGGAAACTGCTGGAGTTTAGGGCCATTCTTTCGCTTATGACAATGTGCTTCGTATTTTTTATTCTTATAATTTTGCGCTAGCTGCTAATGTAAGGTGAAACGTAACCCAGTGTGCAGGGCATTGCATAATGGGGCACTCTCGGTCACCTCATAGCAGATGATGGGTTATTAAAATAACAAGGTATTACATTGCCGACATATGTTTTGTTCCCATGAAACATCCCTCCGCGATGCATTGTCATTCATGCATGATTGCAGTACGGCGCTGGATATTAAGTGCAGCCTCAGAGAGCCATCAATCATCAGTGAGAGGTGCAGTACTGCTCCAGCCAGCGAGGGCCGTGCGCCAGGTCACTTCGGCATGATCAATGATGACTGGACGACCTCAATGAAGCTGAGCACGCTCCTATTGTGCGACATGTGGTCCCACAGCATCTGTCGTGCATCTAGGCAGGTCGCTATCTGACCTGCCAAGGCGAGGCCCCGGTTCTGACCTTTCCCCTTATGACGGCAGTGGACACTGAGTGGACAGAAGATACTGGATAGGCCCGTTCGCCCTGGCTCTCAATGATCAGCTGATCTGTCAGCGTCATCCATAGGTTGAAGATACATTGCAAATGGCTTAAAGTTTCCAATTAATTCACGAACACGGAGAGAGGGCCGCGAATCAGTTAAGAAACATACCCAACTGATGTGAAAATAACAATCAAACGTGTCACAAATCAACCTAATTAGGTAAATCAATCGCAGCTGAACGCGTTATTTAAGATCGAGCCGAAACAATCGAACAATAAAGCAAGCTGTCGAATCTCTGATGGCTCTCGCCTTGTCAATTACGACGCACCTCTCTACACCACACCTTTTACGTCACCTATCGCAAATTAGGAGTCGTCCCAGTGATAATTATTCGACAGACATTTGTAGGTGTTTGACACATATTAGTACCAGTGATGACTTCATCAGTGGTCTTCAGAAGTCCTCTCATCACCGACGCCTCTAACCGAATGTAATTGCCGCTGGTGGAAAGCGTTTCACAACACAACGTTCGGCCAAGGAATTACTTCCAACGAATGCGGAATGAGGGTGTCATTGCGGCAACCGCGGAGTTAATATTAAATTACTATTGGAGACTCCCTTGGCATATTCAGTTGTAATTGATGATTCTTGTGCTGAGTTCCAGCAAAATGAATCTGTTCTACAGAAGAGGATTCACAGAAACCGATGTTGTGTATAGTGATCGAGATACTTGATATCGTCCAATAAAACCCGCGCACATGTAGCACTTATCTAACAATCAATTCGCACCAATTATCCCACGAAGCTTTATGCTAATTGCGGCACGCAGATATCCAATAGGGTTCTTCCCATCGGCCTTTGAAACTTTCAACACTTTCTACCGGTCAGGCGACATAGTAAGCGACACAAAGTTCCCAGCTAACTGGAAAGAGAAGCGACATCAAATCATTTTTGCGATGAACTGTATAGAAACAGGAGCGCAATCTAATTAAAACAATCAGTCGACGTGTCACAAATTACCACCCATCTTACGCCATACTCGCATCCAAGAAACCACATTACCTATCACATTCTCTCCACTCAGATGACCCGTCGAGATATCTTCCCAAATCTCCTTCGTCTGTCTGGCAAAACCTCCCCGGGTCACCCAGCCTCTAGAACCCCCTCCCCATCTTCAGCGACCTTCCCCTCCCCACCGGGTAATTACACCATGCCAGTTCGGTAATTAATAGTGAAGAGCGAGCGAGTGCGGCCTTTCTAACACTTTGCGGCGTGCCTTGACTACGTAGCACATTTACCGCCAGCCATAATCATGGAAGTGATGCAAGCGACAGTCGGGAAAAAAGCCTCAAGGCATTGGCTGGTGAGCGAACACATGATTGGCCGCCAGGTGCTATTTGTTTTCAATCAGCGAACAGCCCATATGGTAGATGTCAGACGTTTCCTTTCTGGAAGTAGTCGGAGACGAGTAGACATCGACAAGCAACAGAGGAGATGAGAGACATGAAATGGCTTTCGCGAGGAGCACGCATTACTGCCGCAATGACGAGTTTATGGAAGAGGTCACCTCTGGTCCATGAGGCTCTCGACACCAACCCGCACCAGCAGCGGCGGCACTATCCATCCCGCGAAGGAGCGACCAAGGTGGTTCGTCGTTAAAAATCCATTAGCGTTGACTGGGCCGTCCTTGTGGGCCGCCCGCATAAAAACTTGACCCGCGCACATAGTTCAAAACACCGCTGAGCGCTCTAAGAAGTGGCCCAGTTTGCACAGACCATCGTCCCATTCAACAACCATTGAATACGGTCATCTGAAAGTGGCAGCTGAAGAAGATATGTAGTCAAAGAAGTTCTAAGAGGAGAGTTGAGAGAAGTCATGTTCTTACGGCGTTTGCCGGCAAGTTAGCAGAGAAGCGCCTCCTGAGACATGGATAGTAGCCACGACTCCGCGAGTACTTTGGAAAACTGGCGTTGCTGGACAATGGACATGAAGTTTGCATGGTGCTATTCGCAAAACTGCACTGCCATTGGTAAGGTAAAAAGAAAAGTAAGGGCCCAAACAAGCCATCGTGTCAAAGTGATGGTTGCATTCAACATCACATGCCCATGCTCGTCTCCATCAAAGATAGACACCTGACAGACACCTCGGACCTGAGACTTAAGAACATCTGTGAAATGGAAAACTGGATTGACGTAGGCAGTCACCCGCGTAGAGGCGTGCAGTCGCCCGCGCTGAGGCTATCTCAGCCGTATCACCGCCCTGTTTCCGAGCCGAAACTCCCGTGCCGACACTGAGATGCATTATTTAACGTGCAATTCGCGCCCGATCACCCTCTTCGGGTCCGCATTACGAAACCCTGCTCGTCACCCGCGTTCTCGCCGAGACATCTCACTTTCTCGCTTGGTCTACAATGGAATTTCGGAGCTATACAAGTTCACCGGCGTCGGCGCGTCAGCCTTCCTCGCCACACGTGTGCCCCACGAGATGATGAGCGGATATTAGCGCTTGGAAAGACCACGAGTAGCACGAACTGATACGGCAGCTGACGACATTTTCACCCAGAGAGAAGGGCACGCGTCAATCGGAGTAGTTCATTCTTCTTCGATCCCCGTGCAGTGTGTCAGGTCGAACAACACCTAGCGAACTTCGCCATCGTTCGATGTTTCCCGGGATCATTAACAACGCGGCTGTATTAGCTCCCTGTCGTATCGGGTCAGTCAGGTCACCGCGGTCGGGCCGATCACCGAGCTTTCGCGTCGCGGGAGGATCGGTGGGCGAATTAGCTAGATTAGTGGGTCTCCGTCTGACCTGGGATCATCAATTAGGTGGCTAGGTTCCATGAGCAGCATGGTCGCGGCGGGGTCCGTATCAAAGCGTCCAAAACCGCAGCACCCAAAGTACGCAACATCCAAAACCGCAGCGTCCAAAGTACGCAACGTCCAAAATACGTCCAAAATCGGGTTTATAGGGGGCATTCACAAAGTCCAAAAC